GTCCTCACATTCCGAACTGTTGTAATAGCCACATGTGCCTGGCTGTGCTGAGGGCTCTACCGGGTATCCCACGGTGATGCTGGAGTAATCCTATCAGAGGGTCCTACTTTCCTTGCTCCGGCAGTGAGAGCTGGGGCACTGCACACCAGTGAAAGCTGGCCTCTGATGAAAGCCACCCACTTCTACATGCTGACAGTCACGCAAATGTGCGTTCACACTTTCATTCATTAGGTGACGTCAACATTTATCGAGCTATCACTGGGGCCCAGGCATCGTGCAAGACGCTGGCACTTGAACGATGAAAGACGTGCTCACGGTGCCCCCGGGGAGATAGATGTTGAGGCATCAGTGCCTGTGATCATCAGAGGACAGCCACGAACGGAGCGGCTTTGTAGCGCGCCGCTGTGTTTACGATAACAAACGGGATGCGGGTGTCTGCACCTTGGCCGTGTGGTGTGAGTTAACACGTGGAGGAGGCACCCCTACCCTCATGCTGTCAGGGTGGCCCCTCCTCTGCGCCTCCCTCTCCTGTGTGGTCACTTTTTGTATTGCTTTCTTCCTGGTGAGGCCCTCGGGCCTCTGCCTCACGGATTCTCAAAGGGAGACTGTCCTGGGAGGTACAACGGTTTCTCCTTCAGCTCTGTGTTGGAGAGAGGCAGCTGGACTGTCAGGACTGTCTTGGGGGCTCTGGTTTCTTCCCATGAGAGCCCCTGGCCCGGGGGGTAATTTCTCTGTGTTCCTTTAGGCACTGCCGAGAGGGCCCAACGTCAGGGTTTCTGTGGGGTGAGGCCTGGGAGTGAGAGAGTGCTGGTCGGGAGCGGAATACCACATGGGCGTTCGTGACTCTACGCTGGTGTGTATACATTGGCCCACGAACCGAACTTTTGACATCCTGGGTCTTACGTTGTTGTCTGCTGTCTGTAATGTAACAGCTTTGAGCAGTGAGTAAGAACATAGACTGGAGTGAGACTGTCTGGGCACTAATCGTGAATGTGTGGCTTTGGGTAAGTGTCCCAACCTCCCTGTGCCTCCATTTCCTCGTGTGCAAAGTTGGCATAGTACTTAGTGGGTGACAGACTTTGAGTCAGTTTGTGTAAGGTGCTTAGACCAGGCCTCAGCCAGAAAGTGATCTTGGCTATTACAGTCTGCACACTCACACCCGTGCGGATCCATAGGGTTAGGTTGGGGTCTGAACGTTTTGCCTGCCCCCCAAAAGCCCACATGCCTGAGGGATTTGGGGAGTCTGAGGAGGCAGCACAGGGCAGCCGGCCCTGCCTGGCCCGTTGCCACTAGACCGTGAGCGCCAAGCGAGAAGAAGGGGCCTGGTGAGCTGTGCTCTGGCCTGGCCGTGGGCATACGCCAGCACGCCCGTCCGTGAGCAAGCACATGAGCACGTCCCCCCCCCCCCCCCCCCCCGCCCCGAGGCTACACTGAAGTAGTGAGGTGCCTGCCCCCTCCTAGGGCGGGTCTTTGCCCCCCTGTGTTGGCCAGGCCCTGTGTTCCCCTCTCCAGAGAAGCCCTCCACTCTTCCCTGACCGGAATCGCTTCTGTCACATTCCTCACCTGGAGAAGTAAGTTAATACGGCGTCTCCCATGTTAAAATTAGAATATTCGGATCCGTGGGGTGAGAGGAAGAAACACGATCGGTCAGTCATTATCCATGGAAATTAAACACCGTACAGTGTCCCGTTCCTTAAGACAGAGACCTTCCCGGTGAATAAATTTTTAATATTGAGCACTTCTCTTGAGAACATTCAATTTCTGGGAAGGCAGAGTGCGTTGCCATTTACTCAGTGGTTGTTTGCACAGGTAATGCTCCTTGGCTCTGGGGTGGAGAAGCCCCGTTATCTTCAGCTGCTGTGAAAGCAGGTGGTCTAAGCAGCAGGCTGAACCCTCTTCCTCTGGGGGAGCTGGGTGGCCAATCACAGACAACCACAGATATTTTCTGAACCCCACTCTGGACCTAAATGCCCAGTTCTGGGGAGAACAAGTTTCTGGGATCTCAGAGTCCCATGTTGGAGACAAGTTCTCCTCCCCGTCTTAAAGTAGAGAGAACAGACCCTGGGTGGCCTTGGGCCCTCTCCCCATTCAGCCAGGGTCCCCCTCTCGGCCTGTGAGTGTGATCAGGTGCCCAGAGCCTGAGTGAGGCTCAGAGGAGTAACTGAGAGGGGCGACGCCTGCAGGAAGATGTGGGCAGAGAGGGTCCTCCGTTCTGGAGCTTGACTTGCCCGGAGTAAGTCTCGGTATGAGGCTCCGGCCTGTCTTGGCACGCACCCCCTCCTCCCCGTGTCAGCCTGTCACCAGCTGGGTAAGCCCCCCGGGCTCCCGAGCAGTGGGGGTGGGAGTGCTGAGTGCGGGGTCCCGTCTGGGACGCTGTGTGTCTGTCCTGGCTTGGGCAGGGGGCTGCGCCGGTCACCCCTGAGGTGCAATGCATCCTGGATGCCGGGCTTTCTGCTGTGCAGGTAATGGAGCTGAGGGGCCCTGGCTGCCGCTGGGGGGATGGAAACTGGCAGGACCCTCCCCAGGTGGCTTCCATGCCCCCACACTCTGTGCCAAGAAGTGGGCTCCCCTCACTGGGATGTGGCCTGAGGACGGAAGGACACTGAGCGGTTGTGACACACCCAGGGGCCAGGGCATCCACGGGGTTGCTCGGGAATGCCACCCCATTGCCACGTTGAGGGAGCAGGGGGGCCAGGGGGGCCTTGGGGTCGGGTGTGTGCACCAACGCTCACTCCCTCCAAGGACTCAGTTTCCTCTTCTGTTGGAGATAAATCCCCAGCACCACCGTGCTTGCCTTCCTAGAGGGCGGGGGGGGGGGGGGGGGGGGGAGAGAGAGAGCTGTCCCCACGAGCTTTCTGACTCCAGGGCCTCCGAGACATGGGAGCTCACAGTGCTTGGCGCTGTGTGGTTGGCCGCGCACCAGGCACGACGTCGTCAGGGCCCGGGGAGGGGTCTGCGTGGACGGGACATTTATGGCATGCTCACCGTGGCCCGGACTGCAGTTCCATTTATTCCTCAGGACAGTCCTGTGAAGTTCGTGGGCTGTTACGCCCATTCACAGGTGAGGAAATAGACCCAGGAACATAGGTAGACTGACCAGTGCGTGTCAGTGGTGGTGCCAGGACTCACAGCCAGGTTGAGGGTATCCAGAACCCACCGTTCTAGGGACAGAGGGGGCAGGTGCCGTTGGCTCAGGCCGCAGTGCCCCGTGTTTTCCCACATCTGTTGGGGAGCTCAGCTTGGCCGAAAGGAGCCTGCTTTCACGCCTGCCCAGCTGATGTCCGGGCTGGTGTGGTGGGGGCAAGCAGCACGGGTTCCCTGGAGTTTGGGGCCTAGCGTCTGCAGAGGGCACTGGCTAGAGGCAGGCACTGGGCTCAGGGTAGGGAAGTTTCCGGGTCTTGCGGCCTCTGGGCTGCATGTTGAGGGCTGTGGGCTCCTGTACCACCTGTCAAGGACGTGTAACCATCCTGAGTTTGTTTATTCATCAGACAGAATCCACCGAGCAACTCTAGGGCCTTGTGTAGGTCCCAGGACGAGGGCTGGGCCCTCATGCAGCTGCTGGGCTGGTGTCTAGGCTGAGCACTGGAGAGTGGGCACATCTGGGGCGGGCTGCTACGGGGAGGCCCGAGTGCCTTCAGAGCAGGGACGGGGCTCAGAGAGGGCTTGAGAGTTGAGGGAGGAGGGCAGGGAGAAGCACTTCTAGGAACACAGCACGGCTGCGGGAAGCAAGGAGTCCAGAGAGAGCACACGGTGTTTTGGAAGAAGTCCTAAATAACCGAAGAAGGACTTAGGGGCGGAGTGGGAGGCAGGGATCCCGGCGTCACTGCACCGTTCGGCCTACTCTCCCTGCGGAGTCCTGTTGCCGTGCGCGCTCAGCCCTGCCCTCTCGAGCTTTCCTGGGTGCCCGGCTGGTGTGTCCTCACTGCTCTCAGTGTCCCTGCACCCAGACGTTCCCATCCAGATGATCACGTGGCCCCCGTGTGCCAGGCCCTTCGGCAGGAAGGACTGGGAGCTCTAGTCTCTGTTCCTCGGGGCCCTGGTGCCTCTGTGCCTCCCCCTGGGCCCTGATCTGCCCTGCCTGCGTGGCTTCGTCCCCACACAGCTGCCCTCCGTCTTGCTGGGCACGGCCGCCTGTCCCTGTGCTGTCATCTCCACCCAGATGTAAGCCTCCCAGGTTCGAGCTCCTGAGTTATTTCGGCATCCTCCATGCATGTCCACCCATGGTTTGGATTAGAGTCACGATGTGTTTCCTGGGTGCAGTTAACTTGCTAAAAGCAGAAAGAAGAGGGTTTTCTTTTCACTTCCCTAATCAGGGAAGAGTGTCAGGAACTGAATTCTTCCCTTTTGGTTGCAACTTACATTCTGTGGCTTAAATTCACGTAGGAAAAGGGAAAGAGGTTTGTGGGTCTGTGTCTGAGCGCCGCGTTGGCTGTTGAATATTAGCGCCCAGGAGACATCTGTTTTCTGCCTTCCTAAACCTAATTTCTTCATCCGCTGGTACTTGCTGAGAAACCTTGACTTCCTCAGTTACGAACTGGCCTAAGTGAGCCATTTGTAATAATATGTGTGATTACATCAAGACGTGTAGCACGACAGACAGGAAACCAGCATGAAGCCAACACGTGTCCAGAAACACATTGGGTTACATTGAACAATGAGCCATGGTTTGCCTCATTAAGGAAAAACGACTTCCATTTTCCTTATTTCCGCCAGCGAGAATAGCTGTTGGATCAGAATGATCCCGATGGATTCCCTTCTTTACACGGCAGAGGCTTTACTTGACGTAGGTTGAAGGGACAGAGGCACTCGCCATGTTTATATGCCTGTTTTCCACCCGCAGGTCACGTCTCAGTGGTTGGTTGGGCCATCACTGGCGAACAAGGGGGGACCTGGATCTGCTGTGGGAGGGTTCCCGTGTGGGAGTCTGTAGAAATTTCCAGAACTCCTCCTCCTGTCCCTGGGGCTCGGCGGGAACAGGTTTTTCCTTGACTGGCTCTCACCCGTCTCTGAAGCGCACCGGCGAGGCGAGCGTGGAAGGGCTCCTGAGCCAGCTTGTCCTGGAGCATCTGCAGCTGGCCCCGCTGCAGTGGGGTGAGTACCTGCCGGTCCCCGCCGGGTGAGCGCGGCCCTCCCCGCGCCCGCATCTGCTCCTGCGCGCGGCTGCGTGGGCCAGCTGGCCACGGCGAGGGTGCGTCTTCAGACGTGTCCCGTCAGCACGGACCCGTGAAAGGGTCAGCGCCCTCCAGATACGCGTGTGGCGGTGGACGTCGAGACCCCATATGGTTCTAGCCGCTGCGGAGTCCGACCTCCTCCGTGGCGGCACTTGGCCTCGTGTGCGTGGCCGCGTCCCCCCTCTGCGTTTGGGTCTTGAGTGATTGGCGTGGCGGACGCGAGCAGGTGTGCAGCCTCCTTGCTCCTACCCTTCTCTGGATGAGCTCTGACGGCTTCACACGGGGTCAGCCCGGAAGGGTGCCTGTGTGGTCAACACCCTGACTGGGTCCCCGGCCCGTGAGTTCACCTGGAACAATCTTTCCAAATGTCTGCTTCCTGTTGCACCAGAAGCCGTTACCCTGGCCTGTGTCTCCCCAAATAGGAGTCAAAACTGCTTTGTTGAGAAACAAGCTAAGTGTATTTTTGTTGAAGTGAGAGGCTTCGTTATTTTCTGGAAGCAGTTTCATTATATAATCTATTTTAGGTCAGATGCGAGCAAGCAGTTTGTGTGTTTTTTTGTTTTTTTTTTTTATACTCCAGATATTGTTGTAATTAGTGTCAAGTCTTCTCTCTGGTTAGTTAAAGTATGATCTCCTCCTTTTGCCTGCTAGAAACACATGGGAATTGTCCCAGGGGCTTGAAGAGAAAAACCTTTCTCCTGGCCTTCCCTTCCTCCCCCATCAGTTTGCGAGACCCCCACATACTGCGGCGCGGGGGTTCTTCTCGCTGCCCGGCTCCCTGCTCCCACAGATGAAGGCCGGCGGGAGTCCGTGAGCTGCCGACGTGACAGCAGTGAATGGATGGCCTTTTACACCCAAGGGGCTCCTTCGTGCGTCCAGCCTGAGTGGAAGGAAGGGGGTGTTTCTGCAGAGAATCAGTGTTTGCACCATGGGGGGCTTCCCTCAGCCCACTTTTCCAGGTTGGAATGTCCGATCTCTTGCTTACCTGGACAGAGCCAGCTGTTTCCACCAGGTGTGGATAGCTGAGCAGGCTCAGACACCCAGACCGCCCTGCCTCCAGGGCTTGGGTTTCGTCCACAGTGGACAGGGTCTTCCTCCCTGGCCGCTGCCCGTGCCAGTGCCCCCCCTTCCATAACCCCGCAGGTTATACCCCCCTCCTCACGGCAGGCAGGCCTGGGGTCTGCCCCGCCCCCGCCCCATGACTGGGCCCCCCTCCAACCTGAGGGGGTCCAGATTGTGCTGCACAGGTGGCCTAGCCCGGCCGGGCCCTCGCTCACCCGCCCGAACGCTGGCCGGCTTGGCCTGTGCCGGCAGGGTCCTCTCTCTGACTTAGAGCAGGCTCAGGTGGGCCACCCAACATCCAGCCTGTTACTTTCACCACTCTGCACGTGTGTATAACATATCAGGCGAGGTACGAGGACCCACACGGTCACTTCTGGTACCCTCGCGTGCTGCACGTGTCCTTCCCTAAACGAGGACGCTGCGGCTCGGCCACGTCAGCCGTCTTGTCCGGCACCGCCCCGCTGAGGGGTGACTGATCCACGTTCAAAGGCAGACGCCCTCAACTGGAATCTGGACCTTTCCACCAGATGACTCGATAAAAAGAATATATTCTCGGGGCGCCTGGGTGGCGCAGTCGGTTAAGCGTCCGACCTCAGCCAGGTCACGATCTCGCGGTCCGTGAGTTCGAGCCCCGCATCAGGCTCTGGGCTGATGGCTCGGAGCCTGGAGCCTGTTTCCGATTCTGTGTCTCCTTCTCTCTCTGCCCCTCCCCCGTTCATGCTCTGTCTCTCTCTGTCCCAAAAATAAAAAAAAAAAAAAAACGTTGAAAAAAGAATATATTCTCACTGCGGAATGCCAGGCAAAATCAGAAACGTGGTCAGAAAAAAATGACCCTCTTCCCGGCTTCCAAAACAACCTCTGTTTCATTGAACTTTTGTGTATTTCTAAGCCTTTTTGCTATCCCCAAATTTAAATTCTGTTTATAGAGATGCCCAGACTGTGTATATTGCGTCTTTTTTTTTCTTTTTTTTTTTTACTTGACGAAACGTATCTCCTGTATCACAGGCCTGTCGAATGCTCGCTGTTAAAGGCCTAGTGGTAACCTCATCAGACGGATGTGAGGTCACGTAGTGCTTGGTCTGTTGTTGGATGTTTGGGTTGTTTTGAGATGTTCATGTTTCTGCAGGTTGCATGCAGCGGCTTGCACATAGAGCTTTTCCGTGTTTGGGGGTCAGTCCCTCTGCAAGGAATCTCTGAAGTCGTTACTGTTTCATGGGGCGGTTGGAGAGCACAAACGTGTCGGCATCTGTGTGTGATGGTGGCATCACCTGGCGTGGACGGGCACGCTGTTGGCACCAGGCTGCCATGCATCTTGGCCTCCGCTCTGCTGCTTCCTCATGTGTGATGTCCTCGTGCAAATGGACGAATCCTCTGAACCTCGGTCTCTTACGGAGGCCCCGACGGCAGCAGGTCCTTAGTGAGGGTTTATGGAGATGTCCGTGATCCCAGTGAGGTCGCGCTTCTCTGCCTCTGAGGCGGGTGGGGGACCGTGGAATTGCTGGGTGCCTGTTGGTCATGGGGAGGAGGAAGCTGGGGTTCTGGGGTGCATCCAGAGGCAGGGCGGGGCTAGGGCAGGACCACAGGTCAGCATCACTGGGCTGCGGCTTCCCAGGTGCTCCCGTCTCTGGCGGGAAACTGCCCTGCCCGCCAGGCAGGAGGACAGGGCGGGTGGCAGAGCCCAGCGTCCCCTGACTGCCTGAGGGCCGTTTCCCTTCTGGTCCGTAGGTGCCGGGTGTGGTGACAAATGAGGCCAAGCGGTCTGCCACACTGATTTCAGTGTCCCATTACTGTGCCCCCTGCCACCTCCCTCAGCTGATGACACTTTCCGTAGCTTCCTAGGTATATCAGGGATGGTCTGTGCTTTCATTGACAGCCGGGAGTACAGGTTAGGTGCTGGCTACGTTAGGCAGTGGATATTTTGAGCACACATCTTCTGAGTCATCATCAAGCCAGCCCCACCATGCGCTCCGGCCCCGACCCGAGCTATGATGTGCCGGCTGCGCGCACGGGTGTGAGAGTCACAGGTCTGGGGACCAGCAGACATGTGACACTGGTGTCCTGCCTCAGGGAACAACGCCCTCACCTTTGGAGAGCGCGACACGGGGTCCACACTTTCCGTGCGGTTTGTCCAACCTGTGTGAGTCTGCGAGGCCTTACTCACTGTTCTCCTCTTACAGGGTAGGAGGTGCTCAGGGATTTCTGTCACCTAAGGTTATGGGGAAAACCTAGATTGTTGGATCGAGGGATTTGTACATTCACTCAGTGGATAGCTGTCTACTTGACCATCCAGTCTATAGCAAGCACTGTCCCAGGTGCCAGGGACCCAGATAGAAGTTCCGCTTCATCCCTGCCTTCAGGACACTCCTGGTCTGATGTGGGTGGACCCAGGTGGCTTAACAGACCATCCACACACAGCCTGGCATCCTGGATGCAGAGGCCAGAGGCAGCTCGGGAACCAGACTCCTGCAGCCACCTTGTTCCAGAGGGGCCAGCCCTGCATTTGGGGACAAGGCACAGAACCACCTGCAGGCCTGTCGCGTCTGAACATTGATCCTCCTACCTCCGTGGCACCCGCTGCATTCGGCAACCCTGTTCAGGAATCTGGATCTGGGGTCCAGGAAGCCAGGCTGTCCTTGCCTCGAGGCGGGGCTGCATCATGGGGACACTTCGGCAGAGTGTCTTTTTGGCACATGTGTCATGTGGAGGCCTTGTGGAGCTCAGTTTGTCTCCGACCTGAGAGTCGTGCGCAATGGCTGTGGTGAGTCAGCAAGTGATGTCGTGTCTCAGACGCCTCGAGAGGGCACGTGGAGAGGCAGGTTCCAGCCAGCCATCCGGCAGGACAGGCGACAGCCACACATGGCCGCAGGTGGCCCAGGCCTCCCTGGAGGCCCAGCCTGCCCGCTGACCCCTGCCTCTTTCCCAGGGAACTTGGCAATGGCACAGGGCTGTGGATTTCTCCAAGCATCTGTGCCCGGGAGAGAGTGTTAGTACACAGGCCCACCAGTGAGGCAGGCTTTGTGGGGCCAGGCACCTCTGTGAGACCCGTCTTCCCACCTGTTCCCCCGCCCCCCTCCACCCCAATCTTCTCCTTGGTCCCAGGCATACTAGTTGTAAAATAATGTTTGGGAGCACTGCTTTCTTGTGATGATTTCCCCCCAAAGAGTAACTTTGTGGAGAGCTTACCGCAGCACGTCAGGAACAGTTCGTGGTCGCTTTCTCTGTCCCCTCACTCACTCTCCGTAATCACCCACTGAGATTGGCGTCGTTACGTATCTTCCGGGAGAAGCTGGTGAGTGAAAAGACCATATAATTTGTCCCCAAAGTTGCTACTTCCGCATCTGATCTGCTCCCTGTGATCCAGGGTTCTCTGCAGACCTGTGGTGCTTTCTTACATGCCCTGTGCTGCCCCCAGTCACCCGGCCGTCCACCCAGCAAATGGCTACTGAACCCCTTCCAGGTGCCCGTCTGGGCCATGCGCAGGGGGGCTGCCTTGGGCCCCCCAGCCGTCAGCTGCCTGCCGCTTTCTTTAAGAGCCACCTTCCTTCTGGAAGAAGATTTCCGCAGTAAGTCTCTGCCCATGGGAGGATGGGCCACGGGGCTATGCCTTTCAACTTTTGACTCCCAATCTGGGAAATCAAGGTTCATGTCTCTGCAGTGTGGTGTATGGGGTCTCCCCGGTGCCCTGTGGCCCCTTGGGCCAGGACAGGCCATCCAGGAGGAGATGAGAGGTCCAGTGCACGTGCTACACACCGTGCCCCTGCTCCACAGGTGCTGAGAAAGGACAGGTGTGCGTGCGGCTGTCAAGCTCTGAGAAGAAAGGAGACAGGTCTGAGATCTCCAGGGTGCCAGGCGGCAGGT